CCACAGGACACATGTAACCTGCTTCACAGTCACATGGATGCTGCCTGCTGTGCTGAGCCACAGGACACATGTAACCTGCTTCACAGTCACATGGATGCTGCCTGCTGTGCTGTTGGTGGAGGTTCCTAAGAAACTGTACCTAGCATGGTTTCAGATGAGCTGAGGCTGGGCTTTATTCTTGGAGGACGCACATGAATTTGTAAACCAAGTGTCCTTTGGAGCCGAATGGTATTAATTCTCTCAATAATTTAACTTCTGTATCAGTGAAAAGGTAATTTCAGGCTAGCTTCTATTAGATAACAGACTGTTCAGAGTTTGAGAAGTTCCTACAGCGTTACTGAATTTGTGTTCCCTAAAGAAGATTGATCATTCTTTTCTGATTATTTTATAGGATCCTTCAAACCAAAAATGTGGTGGCAGAAAGAAAACAGTGTCTTTCAGCAGCATGCCATCGGAGAAGAAGATTAGCAGTGCCCACGACTGCATTAGCTTCATGCAGGCTGGCTGCGAGCTGAAGAAAGTGCGACCAAACTCTCGAATCTACAACCGATTTTTCACCCTAGACACTGATCTCCAGGCTCTACGCTGGGAACCTTCCAAGAAGGACCTTGAAAAAGCCAAGCTGGACATTTCTGCCATCAAAGAGATCAGGCTGGGGAAGAACACAGAGACATTCAGAAACAATGGCCTTGCTGACCAGATCTGTGAAGACTGTGCCTTCTCCATACTCCATGGGGAAAATTATGAGTCTCTGGACCTAGTTGCCAATTCAGCAGATGTAGCAAACATCTGGGTGTCGGGGTTACGGTACCTGGTATCTCGTAGTAAGCAACCGCTTGATTTTATGGAGGGTAACCAGAACACGCCACGGTTCATGTGGCTGAAAACGGTGTTTGAAGCAGCAGACGTCGATGGGAATGGGATTATGTTAGAAGACACTTCAGTGGAGTTAATAAAACAACTCAACCCTACTCTGAAGGAATCGAAGATCAGGTTAAAGTTTAAAGAAATCCAGAAGAGCAAAGAAAAACTAACTACCCGGGTAACAGAAGAGGAATTTTGTGAAGCGTTTTGTGAACTTTGCACTAGGCCAGAAGTGTATTTCTTACTTGTTCAGATATCTAAGAACAAAGAGTATCTGGATGCCAATGACCTCATGCTCTTTTTAGAAGCTGAGCAAGGGGTCACCCACATCACTGAGGATATGTGCTTAGACATCATTAGGAGATATGAGCTTTCTGAAGATGGCCGCCAGAAAGGCTTCCTTGCAATTGATGGTTTTACCCAGTATTTATTATCTCCAGAATGTGACATTTTTGATCCAGAGCAAAAGAAGGTCGCCCAAGATATGACCCAACCCTTATCTCACTATTATATCAATGCGTCTCATAATACCTACCTGATAGAAGATCAGTTTAGGGGACCAGCTGATATCAATGGGTACGTGAGGGCTTTGAAGATGGGTTGTAGAAGCATTGAGCTCGATGTGAGTGATGGTCCAGATAATGAGCCCATCCTTTGTAATAGGAACAACATGGCTATGCACCTTTCCTTTCCAAGTGTTCTGGAGGTGATAAATAAGTTTGCCTTTGTCGCTTCAGAATACCCACTCATTCTCTGCTTGGGAAATCACTGTTCTCTGCCACAGCAGAAAGTCATGGTTCAGCAGATGAAAAAGGTGTTTGGCAATAAACTTTATACAGAAGCACCTTTGTCTTCAGAATCCTACCTCCCATCACCCGAAAAACTAAAAAATATGATTATTGTGAAAGGAAAGAAATTGCCTTCAGAGTCAGATCTGTTAGAAGGAGAAGTGACCGACGAGGATGAAGAAGCCGAGATGTCTCGGAGGATGTCAGGGGATTACAACGGTGAGCAGAAACATATCTGGCTCTGCCGAGAGCTCTCCGACTTGGTATCTATCTGTAAATCTGTTCAGTACAGGGATTTTGAACTGTCTATGAAAACCCAAAACTACTGGGAAATTTGTTCATTTAGTGAAACAGAGGCCAGTCGTATCGCAAATGAATATCCAGAGGATTTCGTGAATTATAACAAGAAGTTCTTATCAAGGGTCTACCCTAGTGCCATGCGGATAGATTCCAGTAATTTGAACCCACAGGACTTCTGGAATTGTGGCTGTCAGATTGTGGCAATGAATTTTCAAACTCCTGGTCCAATGATGGACCTCCACACTGGCTGGTTTCTTCAAAATGGAGGATGTGGCTATGTCCTCAGACCGTCTATCATGCGAGATGAAGTTTCATACTTCAGTGCAAATACAAAGGGCATTGTCCCTGGAGTGTCTCCCCTGGTTCTTCACATCAAGATCATCAGTGGTCAGAACTTCCCAAAGCCCAAAGGAGCTTGTGCCAAAGGGGACGTCATAGACCCCTATGTTTGTGTAGAGATTCATGGGATACCAGCTGACTGCTCCGAGCAAAGGACTAAAACTGTACAACAGAACAGTGATAATCCCATTTTTGATGAGACTTTCGAGTTTCAAGTCAACCTTCCCGAGCTGACTCTGGTCCGTTTTGTCATTTTGGATGATGATTACATTGGGGATGAGTTCATTGGGCAGTATACGATACCATTTGAGTGTCTGCAGCCTGGGTACCGGCACGTCCCCTTGCGCTCCTTTGTGGGGGATATCATGGAGCATGTGACCCTTTTTGTCCACATAGCAATAACCAATCGGAGTGGAGGAGGAAAACCACAGAAACGAAGCCTTTCTGTGAGAATGGGGAAGAAAGTTCGAGAATACACCATGCTCAGGAATATTGGTCTTAAAACCATAGATGATATCTTCAAAATAGCAGTTCATCCCTTACGAGAAGCCATAGATATGAGAGAAAACATGCAGGTAGGAAACAGACCCATCTTCCTCCACTGCTTCTGTTACTCACACCCATTTAAACTAGTGACTATTGTGGTTTACCAATGACTGGCTTGCAAATATTCAGAAATATACTGTGCAGATCCATTCACCACTGAATTAGCTTCCCTGTCACCTGGGATAAAGCAGGTGTTTTCTAATTGTCAATACAAGGTTGAGTGTGGCCAGCTAATGGCACATCAATATAGCAAAATGCTGGGTATCCTTTCAATATGTTTAGCATATAATAATTAACAGAAATGTTTACATGAACAGTGTGGAAAAAGTAAAATATAAAACATGTGGGTAGGTTCAAGGGATGTGGCTCAGCAGGTAAGAGCAGTTACTGAGCTATATATTGAGAAGGAGTTGGGGTCAATCCCCACCCCCGCCCCCAGCATCCACATAAAAAGTCCTGTGTGGCTCATAGTGCCTACAATGCCTTGCTGGGTATGAGTGGAAACTGTAAGATTTCTGGGAATTATTGGACACCAACCTAACCCCAGGTTCACTGAGAACTCTGTGTCAGAGGAAAAGATGGAGAGGGATGGATCAGGAGAGCCTGCGTTCTCCTCTGGTCTCTGTGTGGGTCAGGCATATCTACCTGACATGCATGCACATGCACATACACACACCCCTCCATGTGGGTAGTATATAAAATACATATGCATATTGCTTGAAAGCATATATGTAAAATATTTGCAGATGTGAATATAAAAGAGAATTTGAAGTCATAAAAGTGAGACCCATTATACTTTTAGTTATTTAAAGGTATACTAACAAATTATTACCTACAAGAGAAGAAACAGCTAACCAAATCAAGCTCAGCACTTAATTTTTTAAAATGTATTTAGCCTTCTCTTAGAAAGGTAGTTTAATTGAAGGAGTGTGGATTCTGGGATAACTCTGTCCCTGTGTGGTCCTGAGCAGGTAGATGATCACCGGTCTCTGATGATCCAATTTTCAGCATAAGGCAAGATCAAGAGAGTTACATCACAGGGCTGTTGTGAGAACTAAGAGAGCACACAGCAATCACCCAGTTTTAACTTGGAGAAACCCAGCATGCCTTTCCCTTCCTTATGATGCACGGCTGCACACGTCTTTTTCACAGTACCTTGTATAGTCAATTAAGGATAGCGTTCTTGAGACATGAACAGTCAACAAGTATTCACTAAGGCCTTGTATGACAAAGTGAAAATAACTCAGTTTACTTCATTCCTTTAGCTATCATTTTTATAAGAAATCACTCATCCAGAGACTTTGCCCTCAAGAAAGCAGAGACATTAGAAGACATTATTTCTCAGATCTTGCAGTTAATAAACGTCAAAGTTAGACTTTAAATCCCAGAGTGTCTGATGCCAAAATCCATTATTATTCACATGGAACAGAAGCCCCAAGCTGTGACTTAGTGAAATTATTAACTCACAGGCAAGTTCTTTGAAGAGCTAAATGGTCGGAAATAGTATGATACAAAATTCACATATGAATACCCATAGTCAGATTATGTATCTGTTTGTCTCAAGATGGGTTGCTTAACCACTTTGTTAAAAATTAGTCTCTGAACATGCTGTTATCTTCTATGTAGTATTTCCTTACATAAATTTGGCATTATTATAAAGCCCTGTGTTAGATTACCCACAAGTCATTTTTATACCTAACTGCATTAGAAGTCCACTCTGTGTATTACTATTTAATTCTTGAAATACAGCCTTTATCTCATATACTTGGAATATATCTAGAGAAGAAGTTGGCTGGGGTGATGGCACAGCCAGAAAAGCAATTGCTGCATAGGCACAAAGCCTAGGGTTCAGATCCCCAGAACCTAGGGTTCAGATCCCCAGAACCCACTCAGAAGATGGGTGTGTGGCAACCTCCTATAATCACTGTGCGTGCCCAAGGCCAAGACAGGGATCAGGACTAGGATGGTGAACTACATTATCTAATTCATGATTTCTGGATTTAGTGAAAGAACCTGCCTCAATATATAAAGGGTGAGCTCCCAGGTCTCCTTATGCATGCTCCCACACATGTGTATGTACCTGCATACATGTGTGCCACACACAGAAACATACATATACACATATATGTACACCACATATAAATACACGAAAAGAAGAGCTATTTATAAGGCTTTTCTAGGCAGAGTTAATAATTGATGATACCCTAACAAAGTAGCTTGGATAAAGGAGTATTTGGAGAGTAATATGTAAAAAAATAAAAATACCATGATAATTAATAAATTCATGAGACATTCAGTAGGTTAGATGCTACTCATTATTAATAAATGTAAAACAGCCACAATTTCTATTCCAAGTTATTACTTTAGCATCAGTTTGAGCACATTAATAATAGTCCTAGAGTACCCACAATATGTTACTGTCTCATTAGGAAAGGAAATTAAAATGTACATCCCATGGTGCCATTTAGCCAAGAGCCCAGATTCGAATCATGTACCCCTTTCTCCCTCCACATCATCTGTCATTTCTCTGTCTGCTCAATGAGTCTGTCTCTTTCCTTGTCTATCTTGTGACTCACTTTATCTCTGTGTATGTCTGTCCCTGTGTGTCCACAACAAAGAGCTTTTGCTGTGTGTTAATTGAATAGCACAAAAAACATCACATAGGCAAGAGGGGATACTTAACAGAAACCTTTGATAGAGTTTTACAAGGGATTAAGTCACTAACTTCATCCGACCCCAGCTGACCCAGATAGCAAACAAGGCTGTCAAGCAATATCCATAGGGTCTTTCTTTCTATTTGCTATCTCCCAAATTTATTACCATAGCATGCATACACACCTATGTTACTGTTGGCTCAGGGGCGTGGAAGAGAAGACAACTTTAGATTAAGCTATTGATTAGCTTAGATTGTAAAAGGAAGTTATATGGGAAATCCACAGCAAGTGAGATTGGTAGTTACATTGCACTCTTAATGACAGGGTACACAGAAGGATATCAGTCTTAAGTGACCTCAAAGTGTATTACTAACTCTGGCTCTGAGGCCCAGCAAAAGTTCCAGTCTCTTTGTAGTAGAATATATTTTCATAAAATTATACTGCCTCAATTTGGTTGAGGTTTATAATGACAATGAATATGATGTCCATGCAATTCATTTTCTGTATGTGCTGTGCATTTCTGATGGGCTGACAAGGCACCACTGCTGGCTGCTCAGATGGAGGCTGGTGAGAAGTGATATCCCACTGGCTTAAGATGCTAAGAGAATTGGCATCTAGTTCAGTGGTATTATGCTTTTCTGATCCTCATGATACAATTTGAATGCGGTATTCATGTAGGTACTGCTAGTGTGGGGGCATTCTTGTTGCTATGTCTGCAGAGCACAGACCATCCTTGAGTCATAATCAGCTTTGTTTCTGATGGCTATCTGTGGTCATTGGTAAATACTAAAGCCAATGGTTCAGATTGTGAATAAGCTATCTGTGTTGCCTCTGCATGTTGCAGCACGTTGGCTTGGCTGTGACCCTGGCTGCTCTACACTGTACATGGCTCTGAGGGTATAATTTGGTGAATTCACTTGGGTGTAAACTGGGGTGCAGTGCTATATGTGGTCAGACATGTGACTCCATGTTTTCTCCTCGTAGAACGCCATAGTGTCTATTAAGGAGCTGTGTGGACTTCCGCCGATTGCCAGTCTGAAACAGTGCCTGTTAACCCTGTCCTCTCGTCTCATCACCAGTGACAGTACTCCCTCCGTGTCTCTGGTGATGAAGGACTGCTTTCCTTACCTGGAGCCTCTGGGTGCTATTCCAGATGTGCAGAAGAGGATGCTGGCTGCATATGACCTGGTAGGTGGTTTCAACTTCCCATTATTTATCTCAGTGTATGGACATCTCTAAAAGCAGGGGTTCTGGGGTAGAATTCCAATGGCCAGAGTAGAGTGGCTGCCTCTAACATGTAGTTTGAGGTAGCAGCCAGAGCTTACCATTCTGTATCCATTAAGCCCAAGAGAGGCCTCTGAGGACATGACAAATGGAACAATCTCTGATTTGACAAAGACTGAGTGATTTCCCAGTCCTCAGAAGCATGTCTCCTTTTCTCCTGACACAGAGAGGCTCATGTCTCAGCACTGCTTAATGATGGTTGAGACAAATGGCTTGTCTGTAAACATTTCTAAGCTAATGATGCTACTATCTGATTTCATTCTGAATATTTAATAGAATTTATGTAGTGATTAGATTTGAGGATAACTTTATTTTTGTGTTTCATGCTGTAAACAAAATTAAAGAGCAAGTGACTAAATGTCTAACATACCTAATTAGATAGAAGTAAGTTAGGTATAAGAACATTTACAAACCAGTAACAATAGAAATATGTAGAAACTTCGTATATCAATCAAGAGTAAGTTCTCCTACTGTGAGGTATGAAATTTTTAGGGAATAAATTTAAAAAGCAATGTATCTTTTTAAAAACAACCAGTTATGGCTTAAAATGTAAACTTTTATTCAGAAATATAGACAGCAATTATCTGGGGAAATGGTTTTGCCAAGTTCTTAGGTGCCTAGGCTCTGTCTAATTGTCTGTTCTTCTATTCCTTAAATCTAGCCCCTTTCTTCAAGGTCCAAAATGGCTGCCTAAACTCTACCTTTAACATCTGCAGTCCACCCGTCAGGAATGACGGGAAGACATATCTCCCCTCATTTAGGATATTATGTTCTGGAATTACAGACAAGAAAATATTGCTTTTCCTTCTGTTACACCAGCCTGGAGTTGATATATAATCACATTTAATTGCAAAAAGCAATGAAAAGTGTCTTTACAAGGGGATAAAAGTTGTCTCTTCCGTTTCTAAGAAGTACAAGTAGAATGATATCAGGGGACAGAGCAGCTCTGCTTCAAAAGTCAACGGGCAATCCCCCTTAGCCTAAAAAAAAAACCTATCAGTGAAATATACAGCACATTTATCTTTAAAATAAGTTTCCAATTTCTTAAGATAATATATGAAATCAAGTAAGGTAGTATGCCCTTATAGTCCTAGTTACTCCAGCACAATTGTTCGAGCCCCAAAGACCAAGGCCATTCCAGTCTGAGTAAACTGAGACTCCATGTCTTACAAGTAATGTAATTAGACATCCTCTGTCCGTTAACACCAGCTATGCCTTATGCTTTTAATCATGGCTCTTCTCATCAGAATTTTAAGAAGACAGGGGGCTGGAGATAACTTAGTGGGTTAAATGTTTACTGTGCAAGCACAAGGACCTAAGTTTGAATCCCCAGTACCCACATAAAACACCACATGTAGCCACACACCTCTGTAACTGCAGTGCTGGGGAATGGAGGGAAGTAGATCTCTGGAGCATCCCGACTCACCATTTAGCCAAACAATGAGCCCCAGGTTCAGTAAAGGACACACTCACAGTCCAGAAAGAGGCAGAGAGCAATGTTAATCTGTGGTCCTTGCTTATGTATGAAAGCATGTGCACATTTGCACACATACACACATTCACACACACGCACACAGTTATACACATGCACACACACTTACAAACGTGCTGACACATGCACACACACAGACATTCACACACTCTTACACACACACACACACACACACACACACACACACATTCATACATGAGGGGGAATTTAAGAAGATACTCTTCTTTCTCTGCCTATACCCCAAAACTAAATTGCTATGTACATTATGGGAGAAAAGTTGGATAAAATTACTTAAAATGCTTATTTCATTTGATCTGTGTATTTCTTTTTTTTAGATTTACAGTTAAGATTTATATATGTGTAAACATTAGATTTCCATGATGCTGACAAGGAGGGATTAGCTAAATTACAAATAGGAACCCAGGGACTGGAGAGATGGCTCAGTAGTTCAGAGCTGTTGCTGCGATTGCAAAGGACTCAGGTCCCATTCCCAGCCCCTCCATGTTGGCGTACATCTGTTTGTAACTCCAGCTCCAGGTGATACCATTTCCTCTTCTGGCCTCCACAGGCAACCACACACACGAGGAAACATTTATACAGATATTTAAATTAAAATAAAATAACTGTGAAAGATGGCAATTGGTCTAATGGACTCCCTTGAAGCTATCAAAGTCAGTTGTTTGGAGGACCAGTAGTTGTATGAATATGTTTTGTGAAGCAGCCTTGTTGCAGTAATGTGTGAGCAGTGAGATTTCAATTGTGTTTGTACGTATATGCACATGCAATCCTAGGAAGACAGTAACAGTGATTGCTTTTGTTTGTCATGACTGAAGCTTATTTTCTTAGTTCTTTCCTATACCCTTCCTGTATTTACCAAATCCTTTCTAACAAACATGGTAAGTTTTCTAGTTGAATAAAATACCTGTTGGTGAAGAAAATACTAATATTTTACCATTAAAAATAACTAGGAGAAATGCATCTGGTATAAATATTTTCTAACTGAAGTGAAAAAGCCTTCCCTGAATGTACTCTGCCCACAGATGCTTGTATAAGGGCTGCTTTTGCAGAGTGGGGTGGGGCTCACCTATTGCCTGTGTCACATTTCTTGTGAAATCAATTTTTTTCATCATACAAGTAGAGATTGAAAGCTGTTCAGTGAATAGGTATAATTGCCGTCTAAGAGGTGAAATTAGGGTACTAGTTGCCATAGAGACAGACAGCAGACATCACTTATTCCCTTGTAAACTGAGAAAGGAAAATAATCCATTGTGAGGGCAGCCGGCCCCCAGAGCTTGGTCTGACTTAAGAAGAATGGCTCTCGGGCTGTGGTTGGTCAGTTTCTGCTTCACATCACAAGCGTCTGATGGTGTTTTTGTCCTTTCTGTTTTACCTGCTAAGTCCAAATCTTAATATTATGCTTTCTTTCAATTTCTGTTTTTAAAACACAGTTTACGATTGTAGGCAGAGCCAGGCTTTAACAAAATCTGAAATAGTTTAGCTTGAAAAGCAGAAATAGTTAAATGGAGTCCAGTTATAATTCCCCATGGAAATGGCTTCTTACTTTGGTAGGAAGCCGAGTGCAGGTAACCTGCTGCGGATGGTGCAGCCACACACCAAGGAATGAGAGCACTGCGGAGTCCAGGTTGCATATTTCTTTCAATGGTGCAGAGGGGGAGGAGACAGGTCCCATGCGGCCATTGACCCGGAAGAGAAAAGCCTCACTTTCAGCTTGTAGGACTGTGATGGATGGTGGGCTGCTGCTTTCGGTGTATTAGTGTTTGTGGTTATTCTAAAGAAGTTTCCTGAAATACTCTGCAGACTCAGAGTGATCATGTGACAATGTGGAATGGATCACATCATGATACTTCATCAAATCCATGGTAGCTTCAGATTCAGGGTGCTCTGTGATCTATATGTCTATAAACTTACTGCCCTCCTCAATCTCCCCCAGCCATACTAACCTTGTTCACTCAGACAAAGCTTGTTCCGGACTCCAAGCTGTTATGAATCACACTGCGCTTGTTCCTGGAATGTCCTTCCCTTGCCTGGAAAGTTGCATCCTACCTCTTAATTCTTAGCCGGTTATTTCCTGAAAGACTCTTCTCCAACTAATGACCCACCTCCACGCTATTTCATAGGTGTTTCCCCGCTACACTATTCAGAAGTGTCAAATAGTAATCTGCTCAGCCTTTTAAGAATAATTTTCTTTATCTTCTCTGAGTCTCTCAACTTGAATGTGTGCTTTGTAAGGGTGAAGACTCTGTTTGCCCCACAGTGTTCTTTTTAAAACCATGTTTGTACACAATATGCTACAATAAATTTTAGTTAATTAAACAAGAGCTACAAGTATCTGTTACTAATGCAAATGTAGTTTTAGCCTATGATGGGATGCTCCACTTTCGTTTTCTTCTCCAGGGCCCGCCTTGGTGACTTGCTTCCTGTCCTACAGACTTAGAAAGACTATTTTGCCAGCCTCCTACAGACTCCAATTTACTTCCCACCACCTTCTCCTTCCCCACCCTTGGGTTTCTATCTCACACCACTTAGAATAACTAGTCTTAGTCAATTCTCCCATGGTTCAAGTCAGGCTTTTTGCAAAAGGTCTCACCTTTTATTAAGAAATCATTCATATATTGACTGTATGCATGGCATCAATATACCTCTTTTGATATATCACATTGTTTTCTTAGTCTTTATATTACTCAAGGAACAAACACATTTTTGGATGCCTGTTCTATGCTAGGTGCTGTGTGAAGTGGTAGAGAATTTCTTTAGAGCAGTTGTTCTAATGCGAGGGTAAAACTTAAAAGGGGAGGGGAGGAAACTGACACTCAGCCAGCAAGCTGAGGGTCATCAGCTACTTTCATTGCTACTTTATCATTGTTATTGTAATGTAGATATCTGCTCTGTGGGATATCTGATGTGTGACCGCTGTGGAAGGGTCATTCGACTCCTACAGGGGTCTTGACCCTTAGTTCGTTAACCACTAATATAGAGTCCTCTGAGATTTCACCATGCACCTTCTCTACTCAGCAACAGCCAAAGCCTGGCCTCCTTGTCCCTTGGCACAATTGTATTTGCAAATTATTTAGAAATGAGAATGTGATCTGACCTTTATGTGCGTTTTCTTTGGATGGCTGGCTTTTTACTTCTTTAATGTTCTACCAGCCTAATTTTTCATGGATAGTCAAGATCTATTTGCTTAATATATTCTAACCTTTTATGTATTTTAAATTAATGTGAGAGATTTTGGGTAGTTTGTGTTCTGAATGCCTAATTCAGAGGTAGATTAGTTATAGAGGATTGCAACTGTAAGCTGCAAACCAGAGCAGTCTTCAAAGGTGACTTCTGGACTGAATTATTTAACATTAACATAAAAGTTAAAACTTTACTATGTTAAGAGAAACAGATT